CTCTGTGGCTGTTGAGTGCAACAGTGTACAGGAAGGTAGACACACACATACGATCAGTGGAACACTGTGGTAGGCCTACTGGCCTATGGTGGGGATATAGAATGAAGATTAAGACATATGTGCAACAGTTGGGTATCGTAATTGATGAAAGGTTTCGCCTACATAGCAGACTTCTTCAGTCAAATACAGAGGAAACAGTAGTGATGAAATAATGATGTAATGTCAGTCCATCAGTCTGGGAGAAAAAGTATTTGAGAGTTGACGAACAGTGACAACAACAACAGCTACAAAATTAGTGATGTGTCAACAGTGTGTTGTAAACCAAAACATAACTAACGTAACTTAACCTAACCTAAGCCAACTTTAACTCAACCCTAACCTAACATAACCTGACCTACCCTAACCTAACCTAAACCGAGCTTAACCTGACTTGACCTGACCTAACCTAACCTAACCTAACCTAAACTAATCTAAACCTAACATAACCTGAACTACCCTAACCTTACCTAACCTAAAATAGCCTGACGTACCCTAACCTGACCTAACCTAATCCTCACCTAACGTAATCCTAATCGTACTCTACCCTGAACTAAGCTACTCTACGAGTGCTGTTAACTGTCTGAGGGCTACAAGACACTGTCATCATAGACACCAGTTGCACTGCCAGTGTCTGGCAACACAGCCAGTGTCTGGCAACACAGCCAGTGTCTGGCAACGCAGCCAGTGTCTGGCAACGCAGCCAGTGTCTGGCAACACAGCCAGTGTCTGGCAACACAGCCAGTGTCTGGCAACGCAGCCAGTGTCTGGCAACGCAGCCAGTGTCTGGCAACGCAGCCAGTGTCTGGCAACGCAGCCAGTGTCTGGCAACGCAGCCAGTGTCTGGCAACGCAGCCAGTGTCTGGCAACGCAGCCAGTGTCTGGCAACACAGCCAGTGTCTGGCAACACAGCCAGTGTCTGGCAACGCAGCCAGTGTCTGGCAACGCAGCCAGTGTCTGGCAACGCAGCCAGTGTCTGGCAACGCAGCCAGTGTCTGGCAACGCAGCCAGTGTCTGGCAACACAGCCAGTGTCTGGCAACGCAGCCAGTGTCTGGCAACACAGCCAGTGTCTGGCAACGCAGCCAGTGTCTGGCAGCGCAGTCAGTGTCTGGCAACAGTGTCCGACAACAACTGTCATGTCATATACGATCATTATCATGACACTTGACAGTCGTTATTCTGGAAACATTATGTTAATCAGTGTCTTCAGTCCAGTGTGGAGAAACATGACTTAACAAAGCTCTACACGGTGAAACTTGACTTAAGATAAGATAAGATAAGATTTCGTTCGGATTTTTAACCCCGGAGGGTTAGCCACCCAGGATAACCCAAGAAAGTCAGTGCGTCATCGAGGACTGTCTAACTTATTTCCATTGGGGTCTTTAATCTTGTCCCCCAGGATGCGACCCACACCAGTCGACTAACACCCAGGTACCTATTTGCTGCTAGGTGAACAGGACAGTAGGTGTAAGGAAACGTGTCGAAATGTTTCCACCCGCCGGGAATCGAACCCGGGCCCTCCGTGTGTGAAGCGGGAGCTTTAGCCACCAGACCACTTGACTTAACGAAACTTGACTTAACGAAGCTCTACACGGTGAAACTTGACTTAACAAAGCTCTACACGGTGAAACTTGACTTAAAGCTCTACACGGTGAAACTTGACTTAACGAAGCTCTACACGGTGAAACTTAACAAAGGTCTACACGGTGAAACTTGACTTAACGACGCTCTACACGGTGAAACTTGACTTAAAGCTCTACACGGTGAAACTTGACTTAACGAAGCTCTACACGGTGAAACTTGACTTAACAAAGCTCTACACGGTGAAACTTGACTTAACAAAGCTCTACACGGTGAAACTTGACTTAACGAAGCTCTACACGGTGAAACTTGACTTAACAAAGCTCTACACGGTGAAACTTGACTTAACGAAGCTCTGCACGGTGAAACTTGACTTAAAGCTCTACACGGTGAAACTTGACTTAAAGCTCTACACGGTGAAACTTGACTTAACGAAGCTCTGCACGGTGAAACTTGACTTAACAAAGCTCTGCACGGTGAAACTTGACTTAACGAAGCTCTACACGGTGAAACTTGACTTAAAGCTCTACACGGTGAAACTTGACTTAACAAAGCTCTAAACGGTGAAATGAAACAAGACTTAAAGCTCTACACGGTGAAACTTGACTTAAAGCTCTACACTGTGAGACATGACGTGGTAAAGATCTACATATTGAAACCTGATAAAGCTCTACCCAGAATGAAACATGATGAAGCTCTACCCAGAATGAAACATAAAGCTCTACACAGAATGAAACATGATAAAGCTCTACACAGAATGAAACATGATAAAGCTCTACCCAGAATGAAACATAAAGCTCTACACAGAATGAAACATGATAAAGCTCTACCCAGAATGAAACGTGATAAAGCTCTACACAGAATGAAACATGATAAAGCTCTACCCAGAATGAAACATGATGAAGCTCTACACAGAATGAAACATGATAAAGCTCTACCCAGAATGAAACATAAAGCTCTACACAGAATGAAACATGATAAAGCTCTACCCAGAATGAAACGTGATAAAGCTCTACACAGAATGAAACATGATAAAGCTCTACCCAGAATGAAACATGAAGCTCTACACAGAATGAAACATGATAAAGCTCTACCCAGAATGAAACATGAAGCTCTACACAGAATGAAACATGATAAAGCTCTACCCAGAATGAAACATGATGAAGCTCTACACAGAATGAAACATGATAAAGCTCTACACAGAATGAAACATGATAAAGCTCTACCCAGAATGAAACATGATAAAGCTCTACCCAGAATGAAACGTGATAAAGCTCTACACAGAATGAAACATGATGAAGCTCTACACAGAATGAAACATGATGAAGCTCTACACAGAATGAAACATGATAAAGCTCTACCCAGAATGAAACATGATGAAGCTCTACACAGAATGAAACATGATAAAGCTCTACACAGAATGAAACGTGATAAAGCTCTACACAGAATGAAACATGAAGCTCTACACAGAATGAAACATGATAAAGCTCTACACAGAATGAAACGTGATAAAGCTCTACACAGAATGAAACATGATGAAGCTCTACACAGAATGAAACATGATAAAGCTCTACACAGAATGAAACGTGATAAAGCTCTACACAGAATGAAACATGATGAAGCTCTACACAGAATGAAACGTGATAAAGC